CGCTTGGTTCGAGCCACTGTTCAACCGATGATCGAGTATAATCGATGATCGTGGCATCACAAGATGGCGGTACAACGAACCTTCGCGTCATTCGTCCGCATCGCGTTATAACAAGTCTTCTCCCACTGCTCTCTTCGGTCGACAAGCACGAGTCGTCTGCTAGCTAGCGCAGTCGACTCCCTCCCCCCCAACGCATCGTATGTTCGTTCATGTTCAATCTAACCGCTCGTTGTTCTCTCTCTCTCTCTCTCTCTCTCGATCCGCAGAACGAGGGAACGTGACGATGTTCGAGGCCTTCAATCTGTTCATCCTGAACATCTGCCAGGTGTGCGGTTCCTACCAGTGTCCGTACTGCCCCGACTACAATGGTGGCGCCACCATCGGCCTCAGCTGGATGCTCGTCATCGTCGCCGTGACGACCGCCGTCGCCACCGCCGCCAAACACTCAATATGGCGGCCCTAGCATCGCATAATCACATAGGTGAGCAAAACGAGTGGTGACACGACCACACTGTGCATGTGCATGTGTGCATGTGTGTGCGTACATGCATACGTGCGTGCGTACATGCGTGCGTTCGTAGGCATACGTGCATGCATGCGTACATGCATACGTGCAAGCATGCATGCGTACATGCATACGTGCAAGCATGCATGCGTACATGCATACGTGCAAGCATGCGTACGTACATGCGTACATGCAAGCATGCGTGCGTACATGCATACGTGCGTGCGTACATGCGTGCGTGCGTAGGCATACGTGCATGCATGCGTACATGCATACGTGCAAGCATGCGTGCGTACATGCATACGTGCAAGCATGCGTACGTACATGCGTACATGCAAGCATGCGTGCGTACATGCATACGTGCGTGCGTACATGCGTGCGTGCGTAGGCATACGTGCAAGCATGCATGCGTACATGCATACGTGCGTGCGTACATGCGTGCGTACATGCATACGTGCGTGCGTACATGCGTGCGTGTGTGCATAGGCATACGTTCATGCATGCGTACATGCATACGTGCAAGCATGCATGCGTACATGCGTACGTGCGTGCATACGTGCATACGTGCATACATGCATAAGTGCATGTGTACGTGTGTACATACGCAAAAAACTTTCCTCAACTCACGTCTTAGTAGCATAGTTTACCTTACGATATATAAAACTTGCTCATAAGGTTGCTGCTTGGATGAGAAACAGTGCAGATTTAAATTTTGTTAGACAAATATAACAACTAATAATATAATCCTCGTTCTCACAACAGCTCTCTGTAAAATGCAAGGACAGGATCGTCTTTACGGACCGCATAAGCAGCTGCAGCACCGCACGTGACTCAGACCAGCTTATAACTCAATCCAATTAAGCTGGAGAGTTAACGATGAACTAATTGTCCAGAACGTGAGGGCATGCACTCATTCTCAGTGCTCCGTACTTATCGCTATTTGTGTCGATTGTAATAGGCCTGCCCCCCAAGTTATGATAATATTTTGATAATTTATGATCATGCTCAATGAAAATGTGATTTCTCTTGCAGTAACTGTAGGTGCTAGTAACCCGTCGGTTGGGCGAGCCGCTCACCTAGGACGAGACACTGCCTTGTGTTGGTTGAGCTGCATGCCACCTGGTGGATCCAAGACTGCTGACGCTGCAGCGTGCTGCCGTTTTTCGTGGGACGTCTGCACTCACGAGAGCGCAGTATCGTTGCACTCGGCACAGACAAGAGAACAGTCTTGTGTAGAGGGTGCATCTGGGATGAAGACCGACGAGGTTTCGCCGCGTTATCGCCCCCTAGTGTCCGTCGTCTGCACGTGCCACGAGAAGCGTTCCTCGAGACGAAGGCAAGAAATTGACGAGAGCGAGCGGCAGTCTACACTAGGGGACGCCGACGTCGGTTGCTACGGTTACGCACGCATCACGTCACCGTCCATGTTAGAAAGCGCGGGATCATTGCTGTCGTGGGAAATCCTCATGAAGCACGTGTACATAGGTTTTTTTACGTAATTTTTATCTAGTATATCGCGGCAGGTGGGACCCCCCACCCCCACCCACACGGACGTTTTATTGTCTACATTCCATACGAAACATTCCATAATTCTCGTGTGTGTATATATATATATATATATATACACGTATATGTATGTGTAGCCAGCTCCTGTCTTTTCATGATCATGTGACCAGCGGAAGCCAAGCTGAGTGCTGCGTTGTACATAATCACATGTTGCTATGTATGTGACCTGCAGGAGTTGCACAGACGCGCGTCTTATAGCGTGGGGTTTTTATAAGAGCCGTGACATGGAGGCCGGGTGTAAATTTAAGCAAATCACGTTTTAGAGTCTAGATCGCGCGGTGTGTTCTGTAGATTGACGGTTGGAAGTCGACACTGTTACGACTAACGTGAAATTCAACGTAGAGCAAGATCTTATTTTTTGCTGCATTTTAACAAAATCATGATGAAATTTCCCCGTTTATCATTTGTAACCTGAAAAGACGATTTTATGCAGGGATATTCTAAAGATTATTATTTTACATCGACGTTATTTGATAACTACATTATCCCTGGTTCGTACGAGATTATGACTCACAGTGCTGCCCTCTATCAGCAGCTGAGTTTGATCTCTAATAGTAATATCAGGAGTTAATAATGACAAATTTGTCATTATTAACTCCTGGTAATATGTTTGTATTATTCACTCGAGCTAACATATATTGCCAATGTTACTTGTGATTCAATATTTTTGAATATACATCTTGACAATACATATGCGTTATCTGTCTACTGATGTTAATGCTGTTCCCTGATTTTCAATAAATAAACACAAAATCGGTGATTATAGTTTCAAATTTAAAAACAACATTACATAATCTTCAACATATTTACAATTATCTGTAAATAGTAGATGTCATCCACTATCTGTCTCTGGCTGTCTCATTCCGGGCCATTCACTCAGTCCATTACTGTCTCTCTCTCTCTATCTCTCTCTCTCTCTCTCTCTCTCTCTCTCTCTCTCTTGCCTCACGTCTCGCGCGTTGCTCCGACCCCCATCTCACGTCTCGCGCGTTGCTCCGACCCCCCCGCCTCAGGTCTCGCGCGTTGCTCCGACCCCCATCTCACGTCTCGCGCGTTGCTCCGACCTCCCGCCTCACGTCTCGCGCGTTGCTCCGACCCCCCATCTCACGTCTCACGTCTCGCGCGTTGCTCCGACCCCCCATCTCACGTCTCACGTCTCGCGCGTTGCTCCGACCCCCCCATCTAACATCTCGTGCGTTGCTCCGACCCCCCGCCTCAGGTCTCGCGCGTTGCTCCGACCCCCATCTCACGTCTCACGTCTCACGCATTGCTCCGACCCCCCGCCTTACGTCTCGCATCTCGCACGTTGCTCCGACCCCCGCCTCACATCTCGTGTCTCGCGCGTTGCTCCGACCCCCGCCTCACGTTGCGCGTTGCTCTAACTCCCGACCCCTCTCGGACCCGTCTGACCTGTCTCACGTCTCGCGTCTGACCTGTCTCACATCTTCCGTCTGACCTGTCTCACGTCTCGCGTCTGACCTGTCTCACGTCTCGCATCTGACCTGTCTCGTGTCGCGTCGTCGTTGCAGGTGGGTGTACACGGAGGAGTCGGATCGCTCCGGCATGGCCGTCATCGAGGCGGACGTGCCGAGCGGCTACGTCGTCCACCAGATGGAGCTGGACGACCTGGCCGAGAACGGCAACGTGCGCAACCTGATGCGGGCCGACTTCGAGGGCGACCGAGTCGTGCTCTACTTCGACTACGTGAGTCTCTTTCTCTCTCGCCCCGCGCGGGCGGGGGGCGGCCAAACAAGCGCGCTGCCGCGGTCTCTGCTGTTGCTCGTTTAATTACCTGCTCGTGTTACGGTTTCGATTTGCGTGTTAGTGTCCGAAATCGCTGTCACTGTAGTTGGTTGGGGGGGGGATGTGGGCGTTTGGTTGGGAAGGGGTGAGGGTGAGGTTTGGTTGGTTAGGGAGGGTGTTTGGTTAGGTTGGTTGGTTGTGAAGGGTGAGGTTGGTTGGGGAGGGTTAGGTTTATTGGGAAGGGTGCAGTTGGTTGGTTGGTTGGTTGTTGGAGAGGGTTAAGTTGGTTGGTTTTGGTGGGTGAGGTTGTCGGAGTTGGCAAGAGTGTGCTTTAGGAGAGAAATTAATCGTTGTTGTCTGTGCTTCAGATGGACACGAATCCGATCTGTGTGCGTTTCTATGCGAAGCGCTGGTACCCCGTCGCCAACATGACTCAGTGGCACAAGGTGGCCATCTATGACTACTACGCACCAGGTATGTCTGCCACGTACCACCCGCACGTTCGCCACATATCCCCCGCGCGTCCGCCGACCCTCGGCCGCGTCTGTGCTAACCATTAGTCATGCAATACGCCATGTGTAAGCCAAGCGTCTGCTGCACAGATAGATGTATGTATTGAATGTATGATGTAATATGTCAAACGTATGCCAATCGGCTACAGAAACTGTATGGTGTACAACGATGGCGGTAGTGTTGTCAATTGGTTGTAATTTCGTAATCGATCATCGGTTGGACAAGTTTTCTTGTTCAAGTTTTACATTAATTTCAATATTATTATTTATTTATTTTTTTGATGAAATCGATTATGGATTTTGATAACCAAGCGCTTGGTTCGAGCCACTGTTCAACCGATGATCGAGTATAACACTTTATCACAAGATGGCGGTACAACGAACCTTCGCGTCATTCGTCCGCATCGCGTTATAACAAGTCTTCTTCCACTGCTCTCTTCGGTCGACAAGCACGAGTCGTCTGCTAGCTAGCGCAGTTGACTCCTCCCCTCCCCAACGCATCGTATGTTCGTTCATGTTCACTCTAACCGCTCGTTGTTCTCTCTCTCTCTCGCTCTCGATCCGCAGAACGAGGGAACGTGACGATGTTCGAGGCCTTCAATCTGTTCATCCTGAACATCTGCCAGGTGTGCGGTTCCTACCAGTGTCCGTACTGCCCTGACTACAATGGTGGCGCCACCATCGGCCTCAGCTGGATGCTCGTCATCGTCGCCGTGACGACTGCCGTCGCCACCGCCGCCAAACACTCAATATGGCGGCCCTAGCATTGCATAATCACATAGGTGAGCAAAACGAGTGGTGACTCGACCACACTGTGCACATGTGCATGTGTGCATGTGTGTGTGTGCATGCATACGTGCGTGCATGCGTGCGTGCGTAGGCATACGTACATGCATGCATGCGTACATGCATACGCGCGTGCGTACATGCGTGCGTGCGTGCGTACATGCGTGCGTGCGTAGGCATACGTGCATACGTGCGTGCATACATGCGTGCGTGCGTAGGCATACGTGCATGCTTGCGTACATGCGTGCTTGCGTACATGCGTGCGTGCGTACATGCGTGCGTGCGTACATGCGTGCGTGCGTACATGCGTGCGTGCGTACATGCGTGCGTGCGTACATGCGTGCATACATACGTGCGTGCGTACAT